GTGACCAGCCCCAAGTAGGTGTGGTCAGCAGTACCTCTAAACAGGATTACTCCCTACATCTCCCTGTGGGGACAGACCAGGAATCACTCAAGACACAGCAAGGCCAGGCCCACAAGGAATACTCTGGCCTCCCCGTCTTTCTTATGTTAAGGCTTTGTAGGTGCCCAGATGACAGTAGGTTGTGCATATTCATTCAGGGTCACCACAGGCAGGGGGTGGCCAATCTGGTAGCTCCAGGGGCTGCAGGTGAGGAGGGGTTGAGAAACAGCACTATAGTGTCCTTGGGCACTGAGTGGCTGAGAACCCCTGAGCAGGGATACCCAGTTGCAGAAGAGAGTGGAGGTCATAGGACAGCAGCTTCCTGAGGTTAGACACATTCCCGGTTCCTGATTCCTCTCCTCATCATGGATGAGCCATGGGTCTTTAGACCTCCAAGTTCATATTAGGGGAAACAGCCAAGGGCAGGGAGTCCAGGGAGAACCAGTGGTTGCCAAAGACTCTACAGACTCTGGGCCTAAAATTGGGCCAGACACAGTGTTTATTTTTTCTGCACTTCCCTGATTCAGAAAGAATTAAGAAATTATAATTATCTGCACACCCGTGTGTGGTGTGAATTAGTTTGAGGCCTCAACACTTGGTGTTTGAGTCTCTCAAACATTAGGAACTTAATTAGTTTGCTGCCGAAATGAGGGACAGACTTAGTGGGTTTAAACAACAGAAAAGCCTACTTGATCACCAACCAGGTCTGGAGGCTGGAGATCTGGCCAAGGCCAGGGTTGGCTGGCTCCTTCTGAGGGCTGAGATGGCCTCAAGGGTTCTCAGGCTAATGGAGGCTACATGCCCATCCCTGCTCCAGTCCTCAGATAAAGTTCTTATGGTGTGTATGTCCCTGTGTCCAAAATGTCCTTCTAAGAAACCAGTCACTGGAGCAGGGGTCTTCCTCCAGCATGGCCTCATTTTTACTAACGACATCTGCAGTGACCCAGTTTCTAAACAAGGTCACATCCTGAAGTGCTGGGGGTTAGGATTTCAGTACAGGAGTGGTGGTGGTGGTGGTGGGGGTGGTGGTGGTGGTGGTGTGTGTGTATCCCCAACCCATGGTAGTAACTAATTTTTGCTTAAATTTCATGCTAGGATGTCACTGGCTATTTGAACAACTGTCACAGAGAGAATGTTGTTTACTACACACACCATCTCTGCTCTCCATTGCTAATGATTATTCCATGTCTGTTATGTGCTGGGTACCATTGCAGTGAGCCAAAGAGATGAGAGTGCCACTCTCCTGTCACCCCCACAAAAGAGCAATGGCAAGGAGCACCTTGATCTTCCATTTGCCCTGCAGGCTCTGGTCTGGCCCCCTGGCTCACTTCTAACCCTGTGAGGTGGTCAAAGTCACTCTAGTTGCATCTTGCAGAGGAGGAAAGTGAGGGAAAGCCACAGTGGTGGCAGGTCACTCTGAACTTATTGTACCAGGCTGGACAATAATATCTGACCTCACTAATTACCATACTGCATAATCAAACCCAGGGTATCAGGAGAGAGAAGCAGAGAGGGGATAGATGGGGGGATGGATACTACAAGGATCCCTTACTAGGACACCGATCACACTGGTCTCATCCCTATGACCTGTTCAGTCCTACATTCCTCCTTAACAGCCTTGTCTCCAAGTAGTTTGGGGGGAGGGAAGGGCATAAATTAGGGCATCAGCCCAACTCAGTGCTAAATAAACACTAGCTAAATCTAGAATGTTTTATCTGCCCTAAACAGAACCCTGGGCCCAGTAAGCATTTATTTTTCCATTCACCCCATACCTGGCAACCAGCAATCTGCTGTCTGTCTTTCTGGATTTGTCTGATCTAGATGGTTTACAGAGACTCATATAATCATGTAATACATACAGTATATGGCCTTTTCTGACTGCCATTGCAACACAGCTCAAGGTTCACAGAGCCATTTGTTTTCTTCCATGTTGGAGATTGAACCCAGGACTCTGGGCATACTAGATCTAGTGAGCTATACCTCCAGCCCTCACATCTATGTTTTATGGCTTTGTTTGTTTGTTTACAGAGTCATAGAGAACCAGGTCCCCAAGGACCTTGTGCAAGGTCAGACTGCTGTTGTGTAGAGTACCCTCCTGTGAGTGAGCAGCCATTGGCCAAGTAAGTCCTGAGAAACTGAAGTCCCAGACACTGCTAGGAACATCCTCCAGGCTGACTCATCCACAAGGGAATCCTCAAGTTTGGATACTAGACCCAGAGTTATGGACCACACTCAGTAAGCTTGAAAAATAACCAAGCATGTCATTTCCTTTTGGGGCAGGGGCAGGAGGGCTTGTGGAGCTAAGGTACATAAATCTGCTTTGCTATCTGGAGAGACCTGCAAGGATGCCAGAGTAGCCCAGGCCTTAGCACTTGCCACCTGACTAGGCCATGCTTCTGAGGTGATGATGCTGCCATCTGCTGGATGAATGGAAACCTGCATAAGGCAGCCAGGGCAGAGATAGAGGATGAGTACCAGCTGTCCATCACAGACACCATCAAGCTGACAGGACACTGGGCCAAGGCATTCATTACACAGACATTCGGAACAATGGTGCCCACAGACCTTTTTGGTTTGTTTTTCATAGTGTTTTTTTGCCAGTTTTATTTACACATCTGAAAACTGACACATGGAAAGTATGCAATTAGTGATTTTTAAAATAAAATTTTTAATTTTGCAGGGGTGGCAAAGAGAGTTAGTTGTATGGTGGACCTTAAGAGTGTCTCCCCTGGCACACATGTCCTTCCACAGATGTTTATGACAGAGGTTGATGTCAGTGACAACTTATGACAGGATAAGGTCACTGTATGGGCACTTGGGAAAATGTCAAAATGCATTTGTATCTGAGGAAGTATCTGGAAGGAGCTAATCCCATGCATGGAAACAGTGCTGTCTTGCTGGAGTGTTGGGGAGTTGACGAGACAATACAGGGGATTGCAGGGGTCTTGCTAAGTCCTAGCTACTACTCTTGTATTGGACTTTTTATTACCGGTATGTGTGCACGTGAACTCAATGCATGAGGCCAGAGGAGGACGTTAGATACTCCTGGAGCTGGAGTTACATACACGTGATTTTGAACATTCAATGCAGATTTGGACTGACCTGGGGTCCTCTGCAAGAGCAGCAAGCATTTATACAACTCAAGAGTTCTGAGAGGCCCAGGATAAGACAAGGTCCTGGGCAAAAAGACCTGTAGTCTGTAGTTGTGCTACCTAGAAAGTGGGCAAGGAAGAGGAGGAGAGAATTCAGGGCCTAGGTCCTGGGACACTTGATGTTGGGATGTGGGTTTGAATCAGCAAGGATGGATTCTGAGACTGAGCCAATCACTGGAGAAAGGAGGAGCCCTAGGAAGAAAGGTCTCAGGTCTGAGAGCCATCTGAGTTGGGGGTTGAGAATCTATTTGTGAATTGCAATGGAGAGGTCACTGGTGACCTGAGGAAAAAACATCTCAGTAACGGGACGAAGGTCTAAATGACGAGGGCTCAGGGGAAAATCAGAGGATCAATCTAGGGGGCCATATTTTAAAAAGAAATAAGCCTTCCAAGTAAGTACTGAGTGTCCAAAGTGCCAGGCACTGCTCAGAACATTCCATAGGCTTACATCCCTGAAAGGAAACCAAAGGCCTGCACACATGGCTTGCCACATCCTGGAGTGGAGTGGGGGCATTTGGGGGTGGGGGGCTGCAGCTGAACTGAAAACAGTCAACAGGTGTAGACACAGGGCAGTGGGAGTTGGAAGGAAGTTCCTGTTTGCTTCTGTGTTCTCACAACTATAGGGAACAAAGATACAGGTGTGATGAAGGGATAGGTGCAAGAGCCCAAGAAGCTGAAGGAGATAGAAGGACAGCACATGATGGCTATGAGATGGGTGAGGGCTCAGTGGAAGTGTCATCTAGAAACCAAAGGACCAGTTCTCACCATCCAGGTACACAGAGGGCAGAAATGGATTGTCCCGCCAGTGTGATGGATGAGCTGGTGGGGGAGTTGTGACATGAGGACTATGGCATGTAGCCTGGCTAAGAAGGATCTGTAAGGATGAGATGAGGGATCAAGGGACAATATGACTCGCAGAGGTGAAGAGCTACTGGAACGAGAAGCTGTCAAGGCAGTATGGGAGGATAGGAAAGGAAGTAAAGGGCTAACATTCACCAGCAACCACACTTGCCATCCAAGTCCAACCCAGGCACACGTTATTCAAGGCACCCACACTTAGGCACGCCTGTGGACAGGATGCTCAACCCTCATGAAGCTCTGGTTCTGTCTGCTGTACCACCCTTGGGGGACCATAGTGCAGTGAGATGCTAGGAAACTGGGAGGGGAACCTGATATCACTCACAGTTGACAGTTCTCTGGGTCTGGCTATTTGCTGTAGAATCCTCCTGTCCCTCCCAGGTTCTCTTGTCAGCTGACTGCTTTTCTGAGTTAGAGTTGCTAGAGGGTGCTCTTAAAGACTCCAATAGGTAACCCACAGTGTGCTCCAAGGCAGCCATTCCCATGTTTGCCTTGACATCCCAGAGACAGTACCATGGACATATCAAACCATCATAGAGGCCCTCAGGCCTGAGCGACTGAGTAAACTCAGGGCTAAGGAACTCCATTAATGATGGAAGCTGACGGGGACTTCCAAGTGGGGTCTAGACAACTACAGGCCCATAAAGGGCTCATTTCACTCCAAAGCAAGTCAAGAGAAGGTTCTGGGTGGCCAAGAGTTGGCTAAGATTTACCCAGAAGTGGCTGCCAGGAGTTGGGATGTTCAGAGGACTCTAAGGCCCCCACACTAAGCTGGTGACTTAGGGCTTAATATTTAAGCCTTAAATTAAGCCACTGACTTATACAGCCAAGTCAGTGATATTTATTTTGTTTCTGGGTGGTGCTGAGGCTCAAACCCAGGATCTTCTGCATTGATGCATATTTTTATAGTACTAAGATCTTTAGATTAATAAAAATGCTTCAGAACTGGGCATCATGGCACATATCTTTAATTCCAGCACTTGAGAGGCAGACACAGGTGGATCTCTGCGAGTTCAAGGTCAGTCTGGTCTACTTAGACAGTATGAGGTTAGTTAGGGCTACACGTAAGACCCTACATTAAAAAAATAAAGTCCTGGGAAAAATTACAAAATATAAAACATTATATAGAAAAGCAAGCTCATTTATTCAAATTATATTACAAGTTCCATATACAAATAGAATCTATATAAATATTTAAAAATAGAAGATGCTAAAAATTTCTCTTATAAAAATGTAAAAATAAAATCTATATTTTTATGTATACATACGACATTTAACAGGAGCAAAATGTACAGTGGCTGATGCGAGGTACATTGCCACACTCATGTACATCAGATGTTTTCAAACTCTAGGGCCTAGGCTGCTGTGGAGACTGCCCCACTCTATCTGCCTCCCTGGGGCCAGCAGGGAACAAGCAGGCATTTCTCCCAACTCCTGGGCCAATGGTTTGAGCTCCAGCAACCTCTGATAGGGTAATCATTTACCCATTCTCCAGAGCTGGAGGGGAGCCGCCTGGGCAGGCAGGGTGCTTCCTCAGTGTTATGAGATGGCACATCACTGCTCTAGCTCATGTTCATTCTGCAGGGTCTTCATTGCCAGCCCCCAGAGAGTCATACTAGAGAAAAACTGTCCCTCAGAGTTTCTGTACGTCACCGAAGGTGCCCGGCTGCCCAGTGGCTCTGGGCAGTGGTTGTCCAGGGTGGCCAAGGAAGAACGGGTCACAGCCATGCCATCAGCCTGTGACTGCTCAGCAGCTGCTGAGGTGTCCGCATCTGAGTAAGCATAGGTATGTGGCTGGCTCTGCAGCTCCTGGGGCTTGGTCAGCTTAGCAGGATCCAGGCCCAGTTTGTCCTGGTCACTCATGCTAGGAGGGTGGAACATGGAGCGTAGTTTACAGTAGGAGCCAGTACAGTGACCTTCAAATGCTGCCACAGAACTTTCCACTGGGTGCACTGGGAGCTTGACAGACACAGGCAGTGTGACAGACACATCCTGGGAGAAGGAGTCAGAGCTCTGAGACCTATCCAGGTCAGAGGTCTCGATGGTCTGGCTCAGCTCATCCAGCACAGCTGGGCTCCTGGCATCAGCTCTGCCATGCATCTTCTTGTGCCGCCGCAGCACTGCAGAGCGTGTGAAGCACTTGCTGCAGATCTCACAGCTATAAGGCTTTTCCCCAGTGTGAGTGCGGACGTGCCTGCGCAGGTCTCCCGAGCCTCCAAAGCTCTTCCCTGAAGAGAGAAAGGGGTATTTTAGAAGTGGAAGGGTCCCTTCCTTCTGGACAACTGATCAAAGGGTGGGCCCTGGCACCTTCACTTTGGATGAGGTCCCTTTCCGATGGCCCTTGTAGTTTGAGACTCGTCACAAGTCCTCTGGGGTCTCAGTGCTAGCCAATGATCACTCCCACATTGGCTGAAATATATAGCTCTCCTCAGCAGTGTTACTTCTGTGCAATGTTGCTGTCATCTGAGTCTGCAGTGTCCCTTAATACTCCCCAAACGATGATGCTATTTGGCCAGCCTAGGACCTAGGAACACCCCTTTTCTGATGCCTGTGCAGTCAGTTTGTACCAAAGATGTGCACATACCTGTCCTTCAGCCTGGTTCCTTGTGAGAAGCGGGAACTCAGTAGGTAACTGCAAAGGCCCTGATGTGTTAAGAACTCCCTCAAGGGAAGCACCCCCCCCCCACACACACACACACACACTGGGCATACCGAGAATTTCTCACTTTACTGTCTTTGATTTCTCAGCTAGATAGGCCTTATTAAGCAACAAGTGCATGTGGGGATGCAATAAAGAATGCTTTTGAGCAATAAACTAGATAGGAATCTCCAAGCAGGTAAGCTGACTTCCATATAAAGCCTGAAGGAGCACCCACTAACAGCTCACTACCTGTGACCCACCAGGTTTTGCCACAGGTTCAGAGTTTTCACATTAACATAGTCAGGCATCTTCACATCTTTTATGTGTTGTCTTGGTAACATGTTTGTGGCAGTCTATGGCTTGGCAGTTTCCTGGCTCTTCCTCTACTACTGTGTGCCCTAGCTGCTTTCTGTTCCCTACCATCTCTGGCCATAATGAAGATGCTTTGCCTTTTATTGTACCACTATCATGACTCTCACCTGGAATACTGGGAGGTTGGCACCATCTGTAGGATCCCTAAGTATATATAAACTTTAGTCATATGGAGTTACTATGAAGAGGAGTGAAACCAGACTTCACAGTTAGCAGGACAGTATGGAGTTCACTAGATCTGTCAAAATAGAGAAGGGAATGAAATCCTGGCTGCATTCCCAAAGTTCTGTGCTGTCAGATGCCCTGAGCAGAACCGAATCCAGGTGTGCTCCAAGCACCTCCTAATGTGCTCTGGACAGCTCCATCAGCACTATCAAGCCAATGCATATAATGGGTACATGGACACATGTAATCCTCAGTTGCATGACTCTTGATTTCATGTAGTGGTCACAAGCTACAGATGTCAACCTCTTGGTCTTCATCTGTACACCAAGGCATCTGAGATGGAGAGCTCCACTTTCCACAATGCCCTCGATGAGGCCTGGGCAGGCCCTCTGTTTTCTAATCTGTGACTCCAAGAAGCATGCGATTCGGCATGCCACCCCTTCCCATCAGGACTGCCAGCTCTCGGTGATGGGGCTTTGAGCTGCTTTGTATCTGGAGCATTAGGGTCAGTTCCTGATTACCTCAAAGATGCAGTGGTCGGTATGTGGCATTATTCCTGTGAGGAGGCAAAGGAACTGCGACTTTCACTCACTCTATGAGAAAATAATGACTCATGGCAGCCAACAGCAGGGTGGGCAACTCCGCCTCAAATAGGATGAGGTTAGCTTGCCAGCTGGCCAGCATCAAACTCACCACAGGCAGGGCAGCTGTAGGGCCGCTCGCCCGTGTGCCTCACACGGTGCTTCACCAGCTTCCTCTGCATGTTGAAGGACTTCCCACACTCATCACAAGTGAACACCTTATCAGCTGTGTGTGTCTTTTTGTGCTCCTTCAAATTGCTGAAATTGCTGAACCCTAGACAGACCACAGCAGGGGTTAGGCTGACAGACAGAAACCTGGAGCAGTGACCCTGGAAACACAGGGAGTTGACCATTCAACAATACCTCGGCCGCATGTGTCACACAAGTGTGGCTTCTCTCCAGAGTGAATGATGATGTGGCGCTGGACATCACCAGAGGCTGCAAACCTGCAAAGAAGAGCAAAGTCCTATTAGGAGACTGGTGCCTTCAAATGCTGCCACAGAACTTTCCACTGGGTGCCAGTGGCCCTGACAACTGGGGCCATTCAGAGGACACAGGCTACTCCACCTGTTTTAAATAGAGTTAGGTTGTTTTAAGACCTTTCCTGATTGCTTCAACACACTCTTTCCATTTCCAACAGCACAAGGCCAGAGTAAGATAGAATCTTATGATTCATTTTCTCTTAACCTTAAAAAAATTACATTTATTTAGTGCATGTAGTACATTGCAGCATACATGTGGAGGTCAGAGACAACTTGGGGGAGGTAGTTCTTTTACCATATGGCTCTCAGGAAATAACTCAGGTCACCAGGCTTGGCTGCAAGTGCCTTTACTTTCTGAGCCATCTCACTGGCATGTCTCACAGTTCAGAGAACGTGAAGCCCTGTGGTGTTAACACCTGCGAGATTATTGCGCTTGTAGGAAACACTCCATGTGGTGTGCCAGCTCAAGGCTCACACTGGAGAGCAGAGGGTGAGCTCTGCATGGTCTTGGCAATGAAGCCAGCTCTGCTCAATCTAGTGTGAAATACAACACTGACTCCTGGTTCCAGGAGCCAGGGACAGTTTGGTCCTCCTTCACCTATCCTAGAAAAGGATTTTGCTCACCTCTAGCCCACACTGGAGACCCATCCACATCCATCCTAAGGCTAAGGGACAGAGATGGGGATGAAGAAGGAACCAGTGTTCACAAAGCAACTACTCAAAACCCAGGACATGTTGGGTGTCTGACAATTGGTACCTTCCGTAAGTATCTCCACACACCAGGAGGCCTTTTTTTTTTACTCCACCTTCTGGATGGAAAACAGTGAGTGCAGAAATGCTCATGAACTTGGGCAAGCAACAAGTACCTCTCATCCATGATGTAGAGATCTACACTCTTTCCCTTCTGCCCCACCCCCCCACCCCAGGGTTGACTGGTGGGTTGTTCCAAGGAAAGTGAGGTACAAAAAAGATCTTACATGGAATTCCCAAGATCCTAACTTTTAACACTGCAAAATGTACTCAGGAGTCCATGGAAAGTGACAGCATGTGAGGCAGTTCTGTCTGTGCTGCTGGGCACCTTCCATGACCAGAGATTACCACCTAGAACTGGCTTTATGTTCAGGTAGTTGCAACAGAAGGGAGCCATAGTCAGCATGGCAGCCTTTGCTTTGTTCCATGTCCCAATGCACAGGCAGACTTGTTCCCAAAACTCACTTGAGGGTTGATTCTCCTTCTGCTATGCTCATAGAATGTGTTATGGAATGTGCTGGAGAACTCTGACTTCTGAATGATCCTGCGTCCTTCTTTAACCTTCCAGACATTGCAAGGAGGACTTGTGAAGGGCAGAGAATCTGGGCTACTGATGTTTATGTCCCCCTCACAGCACTGAGCAGATGGTGTGAGTAACGGATGCTGGATAAATGAGAAACTAAATGATGGAATCCAGACATGGAGCAATGTGGATGCCTGCGGCTTGTGAGGCTTCTGGTGGAGGCCTGCAGTTCTAGCACAGTGGCAGGATGGTGGAGTGAGAAGCTCCCGAACTATTACCAAACAAGGGGATGGAGGACTGAGGCTGTAGCCTAGGCACACAGGAAGGGACGGACAAGCTCCTCACCCTATGAAGGAATCACTGCACAGGTGTCAACCCACCAAAAGAAGCTGATTCTCTGCTGCCATGCCAACACTCAGCTTTCAGGTCAAAACTCACCTGCCAAGGCTGAGGGTCATCTGTCCTGAAGCCAACAGTCTAGTTTGATATCACAGCTTAGGTGCCCTCTGTTGCCTTATCTCTGGATGTCTAGTCACTCAGACTGCAGGCACTGTTTCCCCTGACTAGACAGTCTCCTCCTTGGGGACATTTTTAGGATGAACATTTTAGCATAAACTAATCTGTTTTCCTGTAAAGCCACTTTCCTTCCTGGGCCCCAGCCTAGATTTTCTTGCTCTCCATGAACCTTTCTTCTTATTCTCTCATGTGTCGGGAGTGAATACACTTGTACTCTCTCATGGCTGTGTGAGCCTTGGTGGCCAGTGACATGATACTGGTCAAAGTCACCTGGACCACTTCACAGTTCCTCATACGTGGCACCTCAAGCCCAATACTGACCTCTTTCCACAGATTTCACAGATGTACGGCTTCTCCCCAGAGTGCCGGCGTAAGTGAGTCTGAAGGTTGCCTGCCTACAAGAGGACAAGAAACACATCAATCATGAAGGACCAAAGTTATAGAAGCTCAAAGGGGAACTGACAGATTTAGCTGATCCTACCACACTTCCAGTACAGGGCAGACAGGAAGCTGTGTACAAAGTCAAGGGCAACCATCGACTGCACAAGGAACCCCAGCTGAGGCATCACACTGATGTCCACTCTTGTGGTGCCTCCCTTATAAAAGGGCAGGCTACCCAAGGGAGGAATTTGGGTTCCCAGGCCTAATTTTAAGCAGACCTTGATATAGTTAATTTGGAGCACCCACACTCAGGGTCATATGAAGAATTAAGCACTTGTGGGGCTTATTTCAGTGCTCAAGACTTCTTTCTAAAACAAATGAATTTGTTCAAAAGAAGCAAAAGATGTTTCCAGAAAGTGTGTCCTTTGGCAGTAAGGTTGACTCTGCCTGGCCAGCTTTTCACTTTTACCTCTGTGCAAGAGTGCATCTCAGGAGAACCATAGCAGCACAGCAGGCTTTGCATCCCTAGTTTGTGAAGCTAGCAGGGTGTTGCACATAGACTTCCATAGACTTTCATACTCATCAGTATGAAATCAGAAAATTACCTAATACAGTGAAAGCAATGCTGCATATGCTTCCCATGTTGCTAATGCCACCTGGAAATGTCCCAAATTTGGCCTTCCTTCACTCTACCTGAACAGCTCCTACCAAACAAGCCCACAGTGACAAAGTTGCCTATGGGCCATAATGCAGTGCACAACAGAGCCAGATGGCAGAATAAGCAACAGCGAGCTGATAAACACACTTGTTACGTCTGCAAGCTGCCATAAGCAAAATACGGCGGAGACAGTTTTGGTTATAGTCCATCTGTGCGGCAAAGCCCACAAATACAAAAAGACACTGCCTGTGGAATTGGATCCGGGGAAGCCTCAGTTAGACACTACATTCAAGACTGGGATAAACACAGCTGGGAGAAAACTGGGACTTTCGATAACCAGAGGGATTTTGGCAGAATGTTGGTAAACACCCTGCATTACAGTGACTATTAATAACACGACCACAGAAAATGTCAACAGCAAAATCCACATGCTGAAATTCTAACTAGGCTTTTATAACCACTGACAATTGGCATTCTGTTTTCTAGCTGGAAAACTGGGATCTGGGGACCAGAACAGCTGCCCAGGGCCATAATTGGGCTGGTTAGTACTGGACTTGTGGGGTGGAAGTCTTCTCTGCTTTTGCAAACCACAAGAAACTGACATGTCTTGAATAGTCAATATGATAGCCATTCTGCCACCTGGGATATCAGTCCTTAGAGAGGTGGATTTCAAATACTAATTGTTTTAGTCAGCAACATCTAAATTTTAGAAAAACCAATGTTATACACCAACACAACAATCTGAACAGTACCACCTGCTCTACTGCCAGGGGGAGCCCTCTGAAGCATTTGAGATACAGAAAATATGCATTCTAACAAAACAGACTGAGCCACTTAGAGCAAGGATGCCCTTCTCCCAGTGGTGTTACTTATTTCAAAGCAAATATAACCCAGAGCTTCCGATGCACAGTGTGACAAGCAGTAGTTGATGAATATGGTAGCACAGGCCTGAATACCAGGACTCAGGAGGCTTAGGTGGGAAGACTACAAAGTTTGAGGTGAGCCAGGGATACTAGCCAGTCCCAGGACAGCCAGGACTACATATGGGGAGACTGTCTCAATAAGCCAAAATAAGACAAACAACAAAAGACAGCAAAAAAATCTCAATGTGTCTTTACCATATCACATGAAAATACATAATACACATGGGGGATGACAAACTGTACAAACACAGATAAAATAGAACAGATGGAATGTTTTACGCAAAAAAAATTCCAACAACCAAACTGTAGTGCATGTAGGTAATTTGTACAGATGATCCAGGAGTCCTGGCTCTGTTTTTTAGGTATCAATCCACACTTTTTATTTTTAGTAGACTATAGCCATGAGTGTTACTGGTATCTGAAATACACAGGCATCTTAAAAAGTATCTGCAGTTGTGTTTGCAGAAACTGTGCCAAGCAGTGATAAGCTCCGAGGTTGCACAACATGCTTAACTCAAGGCTTATAGAGCTGTATTGCCTTTTACAGAGCAGTCAGCCGGATCCCTGACAGGCCTTGGGTCACAAGACTGGCACAGCTAATTCACCTGGGTTTTGATGTTGTTGTTGGTTTCCTGACACCTGGTTTCACTATGTAGCCCTGGCTAGACTGGAATTTACTGTGTAGACCACGCTGGCCTTGACCTCACAGAGAACTGCCTGCCTCTACCTTCTGAGTGCTGGGATTAAAGGCATGAGCCACCACACTTGATCCAATTCAGGTTTATCTGTTGACTTCAAGACCTATGCTAATAAAACTCTGCTAAAAATGCATAAAAGAATCTTGTTTCTAATTACTTTTAAGACAGAGTATTTAAGAGAAAAATCCCACCAGAAAAAAGAAGTAATACTTGGGCCTATGAGGTGGCTCAGTAGGTAAAGGCACTTGCCTCCAAGTCTAATGTACTTAATTCAATCCCCAGGACCCACATTCATGGTGGAATGAGAAATGACTCCCAAGAGGTGTCTTCTGACCTCCATACACACACTGTAGTACAAGTGCCCCCAGTAAATAAATGCATTAATATTAAGTATTTTTAAAAGTACCATCTGAGTTGAATGGATCTTATAATAAACTTTCTGATGTGGACTCAAACCTCAGCATTCACCCATAAAGAAACCTTTCCTGTAGATGAGTAAGAATGAGGGAAGACCTCGCAAGCTCAGACAGAAAGCAACGCAGACATTTGTCATCTAGTTGACTTCCAAGTCTTTAGGATTTCACCTAGTAGTAAAATTAAAAAGACACTAAGGACAAACATACACTTCCCTGTTAATGTTATGAAATGATGTGACTAGATCCACTGAAGCCTGGGAATCACCTGGACCCCAGATTAGAACTTCAGGACATGGTCAAGGTGTCCCTGCTTCTTGCACTTTCACCAAGAATGAGGTGTGTGGTTGCTTTGGAGTCAGTCCAGCACCCAGCACCTTGCCTCTGAACTTCCCCAGAGGGCTTCCTTGGTGTACTGCATGCACACAGGATGCCAGCCCCATCTAGACAACACTGTCAGAAAATATGGTCTCTGGACTGGAGAGATGGCTCAGAGGTTAAGAGCACTGGCTGTTCTACCAGAGGACCTGAGTTCAATTCCCAGCAACCACATGGTGGCTTAAAACTATCTATAATGAGATCCAATAACACTATACATAGAAAATAAATCTTAAAAAAAAGAAAACATGGTCTCTCACCCAAGACTACCCTCTGCCTCTCAGAATATGATACCAGCTGATCAGAGCCTCTCTTCCTGCCTCCCTGGGGAGAAAAAACAGCTCTGCTCTTCTCCAAAGACAGCTGACTCAGCTGCTTTCCCTTTTCCTCACTGCCTTGGATGTACTGGTGTCCTTATGCACCACACAAGAAGCACAGTATACAAGGTGGTCATACTCTAAAGAGAATAACATGCTATGAACAGCTGAGTGCATCACCACCACAAGCCAAGAGATGATGGCTGATGTGCCACAGTGCCAGCCACTTCATTAGTAAAGCTGTGGTCAAAACTGTGGACAGACTAATCCTTCTAGACAGGCAATCCTTAGGTAACAGGATCAGAGATTCTTTTTTTTTTTTGGGGGGGGGGGGACGGAGAATCACGGATTCTTACTGGTAAATGTTTTCAAACTTTCAAATTCTCCAAAGAAAAGGTCCTTAGGAATTTCACATACAGCATACTCTAGCAGACCGGGAGGGGCATCCCAATCCACTGTGAGTGCCACTGTTCACTCCAGTCCTTCCCAGATGAATGTATAGCAGAAATGGGGGGTAGAGTGTCATCTTCTGGGTATCCCTATGCAACAGCACCAGTCCTAGCTGTCTCCAAGGCTCATCCAAGGACAGTGAAGTGCTGCCCTTAGCTTGCTCCAAATGCCATGCCTGTCAGGTGGCCATGACTGCTCTCTTCTCTGTCTGCATTGTTCCTGTATGTATTCTGCATAGCATGTCCCAATTCTCCTTGTCCTTGACCATCCACACAGTTTTTTCTCCCTCTGAAGAACAGGATCCTCAGAGCCTTACTTGTGGCTGTCCCATCCCAGCATGCAGGAGGGCTAAGGACAGCTCAGCAACATGCAACTCTTGCTTAATCAGGCTTTTAAAACAGTCCTTTTTCAAAATAACTTCATTACTTTGCTATGAAAATAAAACAGCATGATCCATCTGAAAACCACAGCTACAGACAATGCTGCATTCATAAAACCTAACCAAAGTTTACACCAACCCAGAAGGGCATTCCAGACAGCCCCCTGCGTACAATTCAGAGGGAGGGCAAAGATCAAGGTTAAAGCATGGTTCGTAAGCTTGGCTGCACATCAAAATCACTGTTCAAAAAGATAACAGAGACTCACTCAAAGCAGAAACTGGGCATGTCTGAGGGGTGGCATAGCAGCAGTGCTGGGTAGGTAAGGGTAGGGAGGCTGACAGAGATACCGAGTGTGCAGTTGTATTCTAGTTATCAAGTGGTGTCATAGAAGGGCTCTGAGCAGGAAGAGGAACTCAGATACCACACATGAAAGAAACTAAATCCTCCCAATAGTGCCACAAGATAGTATTGCAAGAATGAGAGTGAAGCCCAGAGAAGCATGGTAACTACTTATTACCTATGGTCATGAACAGTTTTACATTTTACTTTTCTTAATTTTTACTTATTGTGTTGGGGGTGGGGAGGAGCATGAAAAAGTCACATGTGAAGGCTAGAGGAAAACTTGAAGTAGCTGGTTCTTTCCTCCCACAGTGGTACTCCAGGCATTGGAATCAGCTTGTCAAGCTTGGCAGTAACACCCCTACTTGCTAAGCTATCTCACTGGTCCCAGTCCTAGGTGGTTAGGCTGACAAAGGTGGTGGTGGTGGAGAGGACCACAGAAGGACTGGGGTGCAGAGCCATGAGGGAGGGCACATGCTGTCCTAAGAACCTGGTCTCACCAACTCCTTACTCCTGCACACGTCTCTAGGGCAGGTGCTCCTTCATCCCTGTTTAACAGATCAAGACACTGTCTCATCCAAGGTCACAAGGCAGTAAATCTGGCAGAGGCAGGTTCAAGTCCAAATCCTTAAGCTTCAGAGACCAAGCTTTGCACTCCAGGTACCCAGGTGAAAGGCAGTGAAGACCTCCCCAAGAATAGTGATAGAGGGATACACACTCAACACCTGTCCAGAGCTGGGGCTCCTGATGATACTGCAACATGATGCTGTCCCAAAGTCATCACTCTGGGAAGACTGGGCCAACCGTGAGAAGTTGAACGGAATCACTGAGAGGTAAGAGTGAACTAAACACACTAGCTGGTGCCAGTGCATGGGAAAATGGAACTGACACTCTCAAAGGACCCTGTTAGAACCAGGAAGGGTGTGTAACAAAATGGCACTCACTGCTTCCATGTACCATGGGGCTTCTTTCCCAATCCCTGCCACATCAGTCTCCAGCTCTATGCTAGGACCAGCCCAAAGCCATTTCCTGGCTGAGGAGAATTTCATATAGCACCACTAAGGAGCTGCTGCACTGAGTAAGACAGCAGTGCTGGCTGTTCCCCCTGCACAGTCCTACTTTGGAGGCTTGGGACACTGAACATGACCATGAACAGAGGGACACTCTATTTCAGAGGGAACAGAAGCTGCTCAGAGCCAGGCTATGATACTGGACACTTGTGGAGGGGACATCTGTGAATGCCTTTGAGTCCATGCCCAACACAATACTAGCTACAATAAGGCACAATAAATGTGAGACAACTCTGGCTGTAGGGATGGCTCAGCAGTTAAGAGCACTGGCTGCTCTTCCAAAGGATGTAGGTTCAATTCCCAGCACCCACATGGCAGCTCACAACTGTCTGTAACTCCAGTTCAGGGGATGTGACATCTTCATACCAACACATATACAATAAAGTTAAATAAAGTATTTAAAAAAAAAAAAAAGTGAGACAACTCTACCGTGCCCAAGTGACCTTCTTAAAGATCAGCTCAAAGGCTGCTGTCAAAGTAGGGAATAGGAATGGCTTGGTCTATTCTTGCTCAATAACCTGCTTATAGTCCCAGTGAGAGTAACTATTGGTCTTGGACCTAACCCAGCATACAATGCGGCTCCAGGGAAGCTTGGTGTGGATAGCTGGAAACTTCATCAGGGCAAGACCCATCATCAGTAGAGAAAAGGAAAAGGCATTTCGAGGGCTCACACTGACATCAGCAGACCTAATGCACTGGAAATGTGTGTTCTGACCCAGCCCAAAGTCTTTCAACTGCAACTACCAACACAGGTCTCTCTTCCAAGGACAAAAGTGAGTCTTATTGGTAACAAAATAAGCAACGGAGTTCAGGCTTCCAATTATCAACAGTAAATAAGAGTATTCCCACCTGAGAGAAGTGTTTCCCACAAATGTTACATTCAAAAGGTTTCTCACCTAAAACAAAGCAAAACACAACAATTTGTTGTCAGTTCAAGAATTTGCACAATTAATTTTGTTTAAAATATTTGATCCTCTGTGTCTTTCCTTTCCAAGCAGGCCATTCCATTCTTCTGTGTTTTATTTTAGAACAAAGTCTCCTTCTGTAGCCCAGGCTGATTGGAAATTCTCAACAATTCCTGCCTCACCATCCTGAATGCTGGGATAACATGAGAGAGCCACCACATTGGCTGATGACATTCTTCATTCCCAAAGTGGGGCACAGGGCATCTCTACTTCCAAATACTTTTCCCTCACCCTGAGACTCTCCAGAAAGATGATAAAATCAAATCTATATATCTTCATCTAAAAGTCAAACTATTCTCCAAATTCAAACTCATGGTGAAATAAAAAGACCACCCAGTTTTCCTTCACCACAAAACCAAATGGGACTTTTCTCTACTTGACCTCTGACTTCTAATAGAGTGGACAGTCCCTTCATACCATGGGAGCTGTGGACACTGGAGCCCAAAGAGTGAGGCACAGGTGGCCTGAGGAACACAGACCTCTGCACTGCCTCCCTGTCATAGCTGAGACTGGGCTTCACAGAGGAGAGGTGTGGCCTGCGGTCCTCTCCACTGAGTGTAGTAACTAAATATTGCAGTCTGGGATAGAACAGACTGGAGCCACAGCTGTACTAGACGAAGGTCTGCCGGAAGGTGGACTTTAAGTTGGCATGAGCCTTTGAAGCCCCACTCTGCCCAATTCAAGTGGTAATTAAGACCCTCTTAAAAATAACACTGAAAACAAACAAACAAAAAGTAACAACATTTTTCTTCTACATACAGGGCCTGTGACATTGGCAACACAGCTTGCAGCTTTCTGGGCTTGTACTAAGCTAGTCTTTAGCCCTGGATGATTGTCACCATGTAAGCCTGTGTTTTGCCTTCTTTCTGTAATTATCGGGGTAAGAGATAATGGTTAAGTTCAAGCCCCCACAAGAGAGATGAGTTTTTTTAAAGAAGAGAAGTTATGGGTCATAAGAGTCCAAGGTTTTAACAACCACTCTCCAATAGGTCTTGGAAGCCCTTTTCACTGTTAAAATTGAGGCTCTACAGATCTTTTGGCCCTATGGGCTGTGACTATCAACATACACACTTTAGAAATAAAATAGGAGGCATTCTGAAGACAGAGAAATGCAGGTTTCATTGGCTATCAGCAGGACATCATCACACACCATGTGGTCACTGGCAGCTTCCATAGCACACCTTGAGGAAGTTGCATATGCACCATTCTGAAACAGCTCTGGCCCCACAGATCCCTGGCATCTGGGCCATGCTCTGCTACTATCTCAATGCAGTACTATGTCCGAGGAAGTATCTCTGCCCTATAACTCTGTCTGTCACTCACAGATGTTCTCCGGAATTAGCAATTTAATTTTGTTCCTTTAAAGCTTTAATAGGTAAGGTTCAAAAAAGAAAAATAAAATAAAACTGATAGAATTCCTCAGGCTGTAGAAAATTAAGCAAACAAAATGATGTGAGGCATGTTGTTTTCGAACAAGACTGAGTAAGGGCTGTCTTTACCTGGTCTCATTTTGAACTACTAGTAACAAAATAATGACAGCCTTTGCATTCAAATACACTGACATCTATAAAGGACTTTTTACAAATAGTGAAGATGTCTCCACTGATGCACTGAGGTAGAAATCACCTGAGCAAACCAGAAGTCCAAAGTGCCAAGAGAACAGCATGCCAAGGAAGGCATCTGGCAGCATGCAAACAGGGCAATCTGGAAGCATGCTACTGTGTGTCACTGATCATGGCTATGTCTTATTTTTTTTGGTGGGGGGGTGGAGGCAGGGTGTCACTCTGTAGCTCTGGCTTTCCTAGAACTATGCAAACCAGGCTGGCCCCAAATTCACAATAGATATGCCTGCCTCTGCCTCTTGAGTGCTGGGATTAAAGGTGTACACCATTATACCCAGCTCATTGTTATGCCTTAAATCTTACTAATTTGTGATGCACTAATAATTCTATCACAGTTAACCAGGGGGAGAGTGAGGCATAGGTATTACACAGTGTGATGTGTATTATATAATACCTATAAAAACTTTTTGGGAAGGCAATGGTATGAATTAAGATAATAAACCATTGGCAGTTCAATGTCTAAGGTAGAAGAATTTTCATTTGAAAACATCAGATGGAAAGTGGGGCTGGGGTGACACAGCTCAGTGGTAGAACAATTGTCTAGCATATGCAAGGTGAATCCTTGTACCACTAAAACAAAAACAAGCAAAAAACTCAAGTTGTTAAAGTTGATTCCTATTTAAGAGTTTACCTCCTGCCTCCCCAAATCCTAAGTTTTCAAATTAAAATTACTTCTGAGAGAAGTTTAAGAATGATTCAAATTGTTCTAGTTCACTCTCCGTCTACAGTCTCCTCTGAGAAAAGAAGCATAAAACCCTAGAGACAACTAAATACAGCATGTCTGTTAGAAGTCTGAGTGCATCAAAGCAGTGACTGTGAGTGAGACAGATGGAACTGCTCAGCAAAGGCAGCCATGTCTCTACAGCAGCCTGCTGACACCCTGCACAAAACATATGCACATATCACCAACAAGTGCAGCACAGGCAGCTAGCATCCTGAAGCCTCATTACAGACACCAGTGACTCCACTGAGGAGTCAAGTGTCTTACAGACAAGGCCTTGCAGGGGGTTGGGGCATCAATGCTTCCTTCTCCAAGCCTGCGGGCTCAGGGCAGTGTACCTGTATGAGACCGTTTGTGTAGCTCCAGATTGCTTGGGTGTTTAAAAGGCTTCCCACACATTTCACATGCATACTGTCTCTGGGACTGGAGGGCTTGGGATGGGTCTTCCCATGTGGCTGGGGCTCCTGGAATCTCCACCTCATGGCTGCTCTCTGGACCCAGTTCTTCCCTCCCCTTTTCTTCAGGAGTTGGGCTTCTGGCTTTCTCACCACCCTCATCTTCCTTAGCAGCAGATTCCTCCCTCCTGACTAACCCATTATCTGACTCGGGATTCGAAGTGCGTTCAGCTGATTGCTGTGACTTGAGAAAGTTTAGTTTCTTCAGGTGCATGGCCTTCTTCAGCCTCATCTGCTTGGCAGGTGGCTGACAAAGGGCATCTGCCTCTGAGTCGGTGCCAGAGTTCCTGAGGGGTGGAGCCAGGAAGGTGGAATGCAATTGCTCAGAAGATTCCAGGACCCCTGGACGGCCCTCCACAGAAGGCTGTGAGTCTGCTGTAGCAATGTCTGTGGAGGCACCGACAGTGAGTGGCTGTTCTGTGGCAGGCACCCGGCTGGGGCAGGCAGTTTGCTTGTAGTACTGCTTGCTGTACAATGTTCTGAGTTTGTAATAGTAGTTGGGCTGTTTGCAGGGCGGCTCTGGCCAGCTGCCACCCACAGCATCCAGGGCTGGTTTTGACACTTCTTCTGCGGGACGACTGAACCCTGCTGATGGGGCATGAGGACTCAGTTCAGCCGGAACTTTAGCATGTGAGCCTTCCACAGGGCACTCCTGCAGTGAGTGGGGAGGGTAGTGCTCACTTACCGCACAGCTGCCATCCAGAGTCACACTCTGCAGGGAGAAGGTGCCAGCACAGGGCAAGCCTGGCATCTGTGCTGCAGAGGCTGACTTCAGAAACGTGTGGCACAGATTCAGAACATTCTGTACTTGCAGACACTGTGCTGTGTCCAGCATCACCTGAATGTTGTCCTGGTTGAGGTCGAGGTGCGATGTATACATGAAGTCCAGGATCTGACCTATGCCGCTGACATTTTTAACATCCAGGTGAAAAACATCATTCTTCTGACTTGAAGAGTTCTGAAAGAGACTCCTGACAAAATAAAGAACATGTTAGCTATTTTTACATTCTGATAACATTTTCTTTTAAAGTTTATACATAAACATTCAAAATATGTCTAGGAACACTAGAACTTTTGTAACAAATATTCTTTTTCTTTTTTAAATTTTGTTTTGTTTTTAGAGACAGGGTTTCTCCATGTAGTCCTGGCTGTCCTGGAACTCCTGTCTAAGCTGGCTCAAACCCATAGATCCACCTGCCTCTGCCCAAGTGTGGGATTAAAGATGTGCACCACCACTGCATGGCTGCCACAAGTATTTTTAATGTTTTATTTTTAAAATTATTTCACTTTTGCTCTTTTTTGGGGGGGGGTTAGCGTCTATGTTCAAGTGTGTGTGTGCATGTGTTTGTGTGTGTGTGTGTGTGCGCGCGCACACGCACATGTGCACATATATGTAGAGGCCAGAGGTCAACCTTGGATGCTGTTCTTCAGGCACCATCACTCTGTTTTAAGAGAATGGAGTCTCTAGCCCAGAGATTGCAAACAAGGCTGTGCTAGCTGCCCAGTGAGGACCTGTCTCCTTCTCCCCAGCTCTGGAATTATAAGAATGTACCACCATGCCTGGATTCTTCGTGTGGGTCCTGGGATCAAATTTAGGTCTTCATGCAAGCACTCTATGGAACATGATCTACACTGTTCAAAGTATAATTAACTACATGCACCAATTACACACTGACAGAGTGTAGCGAAGGAAGAAAGGAAGGAAGGAAGGAAGGAAGGTAGGAAGGAAGGAAGGAAGGAATGAATTACATATTTCAATGTTTCATGTTTAATCTGACATGATACATTTGGCACCATAAAACACACATACAAATATTTATATATCTAAGTGCCTGCAAATCTTCTAAAGATAAAGACAGCCATAATAAGCAGCCCTCAGTTATATACTCACTATGTAACCTATAATTTGGCTGCTAAGATTTTTTGTTTTGGTTAGGTTTTTAGTTTTTTGAAACAGGTTCTTACTATGTAGACTCAGCTGGCCTGGGACTTGTCACGTAGACAAGGCTGACCTAGAACTCACAAAGATTCACCTGCCTCTGCTTCTCCAGTGCTTGGTGTGCCACCATGCCCTTCTGCTACTCAGTTTTGCAGATACTCAGTGATCCATAAACCAGCAGAAGTACATGCACCTGGACTTAATGAAGAAAAAGGCACGGGGCCCAGGCTCCTTGTTCTAGTGTGGGTGGAGTTCATAAGTGAGGGAACAGTATGGAACACAACTTCGTAAGATGACTCAGGTAAACTGTCCCACTAATCTGCTGCAGACATTTTGGTAACACTCACCTGTTTCCCCAACAGTGTTCAGTTTTTATACCAGCTCAGAACAGCCAACATATCATACCTGCAAGAGCTAACTGTCCTGGAAGACAGAAGAAACCGAGGATAGCAGGGCTCGAGGGTCTGGGACTCTCTACCTTACTGAACAGAGTTGTTACAGTGTGTGGAACAGTGCATACAAGAGCCACGGCTTAATGCCATGACGCAGGGTTATCAGGGCAAGAGCAGGTCATTGTCCAAACACTGCTGACCAGAGCAGGTAAATGTGCACCAAAGAGGAGAGTTGCTTAACCAGAACTCATTTCTATAGAACAGGCAATTGTACGAAGGTTATCTACACTGGAACACAACTGCTTGGTGTTAGTCAGCATATGTAAGTAAATCAAATAAGCCAAAATAATGGCAGGGATAGCTAAGGTGAAGCGAAACTAAAGATTTTCTTACAACATTCAAATGAGAGATAAAAACTGAACTGCTTTAATTTAGGAAGGAAGGGAGGAAAGTAAGCAGAGAGGAACCTAAGGAGGGGAAAGCATACAGAACACTTTTCCCATGTTCACTTCTTTCTCTTTCTCATTCCCATGAGGCCCTAGCTGGCCTGGAACTCTCCATCCTCTTGCTAAAGTCTCCATGTGCTGGGACAGCCAGAATTCTCCACTCATTTATTCAAAAAGGAAGCGAAATACAGAGAGAATACTGACATTAAATCTTTTCAATGACCCCCAATATACTCTAGCAAGAGTCTCTTTTCCTGTCTGGTTACTCAAAACACAAAGTGATAGTAATTAAAGAAATAAGAAAACCTATAAATTCTCATTTTGTTTAAACTAAAGACAAAGACAGAAAAATCCCTGAGAAAAGTGAAATGTGGCCACAGTGCTTTCCTGCCAGGTTCTGCAGGCAGGGAGGACACAGTGGGAGGTACTCACCTGAAATACTGGCTGAAGGCTGCCAGCACATTCTTGTGTGCTTTGAAGCAGACTCCCCTCACCACCAGCATGCAATCACAAAGCAGGCCTTGGATTCGCTGCTCTCGCAGCTCCTGGAGGAGGTGGCAGCTGTGAATAGCAACAGGGTCCATACTAGACCATGAGACCTACAGCAGAGAACATAGGTAAGAACCTGTCAAGGACACTATTGGGACAAAAAGGGCCCAAATGCACTAACTGCTCTTGGCTTTCATCATGGTGCCTCAAGGTTACAGCTTAAGGCACACACCTACCCACTGAACTGTTTTGGCAGCAGTTAACCCAGAGTTGTTCAGCCTACCTCTCTGTAATATGGAAATGTCTCTTCTTACTGATCCATTCATTATGGAAACCATTAGCTATGTGAAACCCAAAGTGCTTGAGTCTGCTAATCTAGAATGTAGCTGTGATAAGAGTGTATGCATTTCTTTTATGCCAACTATGACTAAGCCAAATTAAAAATAAAAAAATAATGCAAATACACAAACAAGCATAAAGAAAGAAAGCCAAACAGCTAAGATCAAACCTATACTTATTGAACAACTTGTGATAATTAATCTTGACATTCAACTTGATAGGACTGAGAATGTAGGGGATGTACCTGTCTTGGTGCTTGACTGCACTTCCAGAAAGGCGTAAATGAGCAGGGAACACCCACCCTAAAGGTGGGTGACATCATCCTATAGACTAGGATCCCAAACTGAATAAAAGAGAGAAAGCAGCCAACCAGTAGCATGCATATCCCTGTTCCTTGGCTGCAGATGTAATATGATCAACCGCTTGTCGGTCCTGCCACCAAGCCTTCCCTCCATGATGGACTGCATCTTCAGACTATGAACCAAAATAAATCCTTTAAGTTGCTAGTATCAGACACTTTGTTATAGCAACAAATACACACCTATACATAGGTCAGTGAATTCAAAGCTTGAGAAAATCAGGAGCCTATTTGGGGAGGTAAGATACAAGTTAAAATAACTACCATCACCAGACAAAGAGAAAAGCAGTGTCACAAAACACATCTGTTTAGGTGTGCCTCTCACAGACAGAGGAAACAAGAGAATGGGGTGTGCAGGTTACTGGGATCTTTGACCAGCAGATGTGGGGACCTTCAGGGCAGGAACTTGCCAGGCTTCAGAGTATGGCTGAATAGTAGATGGCATCCCAGAGAGGCAGAAGGCAGATGACAATGAACTTCATGCCTTATGACAAGTGACTCTGAGAAGGAGACAAGAAGCTCCTGTGTGGACACAGAACATCTGGTCATTCTCTACCTAACTACTGAATGACTACTATGCACTATGTTCTAGGGCAATAACAGTGAGTACAGCACACCAGGAGTCCTGGAAGCTTCAATTCTAGTGAGGGCAGTACACAGTTAATGGAACAATTACAGCGAGACATGGGGGCAGCTGAACCAGGTACAGCCTCTGGCATCCAAACACAGTGAGAGAGGAATGGGCAGACACTGAGGATCTAAATGGCAATCTAGTGCACTAAACTGTAGAGGACAAAATGGCCTTGTGCACACAGTTAAGCACTGGAGAAGCCAAGAAAGTTAAACACACAGCTTACCTCATCAACGGAATGAGGTGGTTAGCTGCTTTCCTGGAATGTGAGGGAAATGTAATTTACAACCTGGTAACCCATTGCTACCTGTTGAGTCAGGCCCTGTCTATATCTTCCATATGTTTTACTTATCCCAGACCCCTTTTCCTTAAAACTTTGAGCATTATTTCTAGGACATAAAACTCTTCCTTGTGAGAGATGTCATTTGTATGGAGAATTCTATGAATCTTAGGGCCAGGCCAATCCTGACACCCACCATCATGTTTACCTCAGTCATTCTTCCTAGACTCTAAATCTTGGGCACTATCTCTGAGTCAACAGTACTCATCTTTGTGAAAGAAGCCAGATGTACTTTGTAAAGAATCTCAATGTGCCAGTCAGTGATGGTGCACGCCTTTAATCCCAGCATTCAAGAGGCAGAGGCAGGCAGATCCCTGTGAGTTCAAGGCCAGCCAGGGCTGTTACACAGAGAAACCTCATCTCAAAAAATAAAAAACAAAAAAGAAAAAAAAGAATCTCAACATAGACATGTCTTAAAATTGTTGTGCATTTGGGACTGAGTTGATATCAGAAACACCCCCCCCCCCAAATTGTGCTATACTTAAATACAGCTAAATTAAAATGATCTGGGTCAGACTCCAGAAGTCCTCGCCCCGCATCAGCTACAAAAATCAGGCTGATCCAAGCTTCATTGTTCCCTCACCCTTGTTGTGGAATAATCCTTCTGTGTACTGTGAAGATGTGTCTTTGCCAAGCACCTTCTGATTGGTTTAATAAAGAGCTGAATGGCCAATAACTAGGCAGGGAGAGTTTAGGTGGGACTTCTAGGCAGAGAGAGCTCAGGGAAGAAGGTTGCCAGCCAGACACAGAGGAAGCAGGACTTGGAGGAGGAAAGGTAAAAGCCATGAGCCACATGATAACATGTAAATAAAGAGAAATGGGTTACTTTAAGTTATAAGTGTTAGTTAGAAGAGCGAAGGCCAAGCTTTCATAATTAATAAGTCTCCTGTGTCATTTTTTTGTGGGCTGGTGGCCCAAAGAAAAATCCATTTACACACCCTGATTGTTTTTTCCTGCCTGATATAAAGACCCTCCCACACTAAGGATCAAAGAAGTCATGGGTTTTCTTTATTTATTATTTAAGGTGAAAACACTGCAAAATCATACCCACAAAGCCAAACTCAAAAGTTTCTTTAACAGTGTCCCTGAGCCCTGATGTAATTTGGGTATGATATATTTCCCAAAGATGACAAGAGTTAAGGCTTAGTCCTCAGTGCAGCAGAATTCAGATGTGAGATGGCTGGATCACGAGGGCATGATTTTCCTTATGTATTGATCCACTGACAAGTTCACAGCAGAAAGGACTATTGGGGGAGTGACCTAGCTGACAAGTTCACAGCAGAAAGGACTATTGGGGGAGTGACCTAGCTGGAAGAAGCAAAGGTCTTTTTGAGGTAAAGACATGGCCCACATCTGTTTCATTGATCAATATAGTGCTGACACTTGTGTCTTGGGCTTCATAGGTGCTCAGCGTGTAGTTTGGGGATGGAGTGACCCGTGGAACTAGAGGATTATAAAGTTCTTTCTAGTTCAGGGAGCTAAAATCTAAATCAAGAATACAACAGTAGAAAGATGAATGTGAAAGACATCAAACAATGGAAATACCAGGGGGAAAAAAGGCAAAGAGAAGCAAAAAAAAAAAAAAAAAAAAAAAAAAAAATTGTGGATGATGTGAATGAAGAGGAGCTTCTCAAGAGAAAAGAAACTTTACTAGGATTTTAACCCAGAGTAGGGGGGCTCTCACAGCAAAGGACCTTCTGTGTGGTAGGGTGATTCTGCCAAGTAGTTTACACCAGCAGATGATTTGTGTGAGGTTTTCCCTGGGGCTGTTTATATCAAGCCTTAGAGGGGTTCCTCAGGAGTTGTTAACTATTGTGCTTATCTTTATTTCTTTTTCTGTATGAATGTGCAGATATGTGTGCATTTTTGTGTATAATGGGTGCATACATGTGGAGGACAGAAGCCAACCTTAGGGCACTGTTCCTCAGGAGCTGTCCAATTGTTTTCTGAGACAGAGTCTCTTACTGAGATGAGAGGCTCACTGATCCCAGGGACCCACCTATTTCCACCTCTCCAATGCTAGGATTACAAGTGCATACCACCAAAATGGGCTCTGTATGTATTACACTGAATTCTCCAGAACCTCGGAATTTGGTTACCTGTAGAGATCAGACCTTCAATAAGGCAAGTGGGTTAAAAAGAGCCCATTAGGAGGAGCCCTGTTCCAATCTGAATGATGTCCTTACATAAGGAGATGTGGATATAAGCAGAAATGCTAGAGGTGCAGTGGCACAGAGGAAAGATCACGTGAGGCTACAGCAAGAGGGTGACCACCTATAAGCCAGGATGTGACTCTACAGCAAGCAGACTTGATGACACCACGTTCATGATCCTCCATCCTCCATAACTATGAAAAAATAAATCTCTTTCATTGGAACCACGTCAGCTGTTGTACCCTGCTATGGCAGCCACAATAAACAGAGGGAAACCTTGTCACCAACAAATGCCCAACCCAGAGCTGTTTCTCACAATACTGTTCATAGCCTGTTTTGACTTTCACGCACTTATTTAAGCTACACACAGTAACCACTATCGTATACCACATGTTGTCTTAACGGGCTAGAACAGCTAATGTTTAGTGAGCACTTATTAAACTGCAGATTATCGGCTCAGCACCTGACCTGCACCGACTCATGTAATAGTCCTACAAGGTCCCCAGGAGTAGGCGCTGCAGTAATAGCATTCTACAGATGGGGCACCAAGGCACAGATGGCCGCGTGGTGAATGAGGTGAGGCGCAGCTATGAGGACGGGTCACACGCGCCTCTCCTATCTTGGGGTGACGCAGGCACCAAGAGCCGCGCAGACCGCAGCAGGGCGGACCGCAGGAAGGAGGCCCGGCTCCCATGGCCGGAGTCTAGCTTTGTGCTCGGCTGGGCCCGCCACACCGCGCTGTCAGCAGGCCCGCGCGCACCCAGCCGCGCAGACCCGCAGCTCGCGCGAGGCCAGAGTCCTGGGTCGCCTTACCCTCGGAGGCCGCTCCCGCCCGGCCGCCTCCTCGTTACTCGTCCCCGTCAGACCCTCAGAGTCAACAGTACATCTCCAGTCGCCACGGAACCATTCCGACAACGCCCCCTCGGCAGCTCATCGGCCGCTTCCGGCGCCGTCATTTCCGTCCGGGGCGTGGCCGCGACGCGCATGCTCATTGGCACGCGCCTGCCGGTCGTGGGTTCTGCGCGGGTGAGCTGGGAGAGCCGGTGGCGGCGCTGCACTCGGTGGCTGCGGCTCCACGTGCTCCCGGCGGCCGGTTAAGACCGTTGGCGGAGTCTGCAGAGAGGTGAGGGCGGCGGCTTGGAGCCCGGGGCCTGAGGGAGGGCGATGGCGGCAAAGTCGCCTTCTTTGCAGACCCGCTCGCGGCAAAGGCTGGAATCCTGAAGCTCCGGGAGAAACTGCGTCCCGGTTTTTAGTCAGAGAGGTCGTCGAGGCCGGCCAGATGGCATGGTTGGTTTCCCAACGCACAGGGCTTCAGACCTGCTGCCTCTTGGGGGGAAGGCTCTGTTCTGAGTCTCGAGAACTCGGTCCTGAGGAGGGGCCTGACGGCTCCTGGAGCGCAGAGGACCAAAGACCTAAGAAGTGCGCGCGAATCTCCAAATCTCCAACTCAAGCTACTTAACACTGTTGCGCTCGTCTCCACGTCTGTACAAAAGGGATACTAGAGAACCTAACTTGGGGTGTGTGTGAAGATTACGGGTAAAAAGCTTGGCATATAGTAGTCGCTCAGAAAATGTCAGTATTGCGGGCAGGTGGTGGCACACGCCTTTGATCCCAGCACTCGGGAAGCAGAGGCAGGCGGATTTCTATGGGTTCGTGGCCAGTCTGGTCTACAGAGTGAGAGTTCCAGAGCAGTTACACGGAGAAACCCTGTCTCGAAAAACCAAATAAAAAAGGAAAAGAAAAAATGTCAGGAATTTCCTATAGCCGCTACCTCCTAGGACAGAGGCAAAAGGGGTATGTTTGCCTGCAAGCCTAACTTCTGGCCATTGAGGGCCTAGGACACGGGACTTGCTCAAATTGTGTCAGGCTCCTAGTGTCTACCATAATGCCCAATTCATGTAGTTATTCAGGTGAGGTTGTGGTGGGGAGGCTCGAACTTCAAGGCAGGGGCATAGCTTGGTTTCTTTGAGCTTCGGTGGAAACAGGTGCCCCACTCATGGTCTTCCCTCAGGTCCCAGGAAGTTAAGTATGTGCCTGTCTTTTCTTCTCTTATACTGCACCTGTGATTCTGGGAATTCTCCTGTCTCTAGTAGAGTGGGTTGAGTCCCTATTTCATAGATAGGGAGAGCTTGAGTTTAAAGGGAGCAGTGGCTTGCTCAGTGGGTCTTGTGCTGAAGTTGCCTGTCTGGCCTTTAAGATGTGCTGTTTTGGGGGCAGATGTAGTCAGTGTGTGCGCATAAGTAAAAAAGTATGATAAGAATGGGGAGCTAGTACAGTCTGTAAAGTGCTTGCCACACCAGCATGAAGACTTGAATTCTCTTGCCCAGCACCCAGGTTAAAAAGCAGGGCATGGTGATGAATCCCTGCTGCTCACTAGCCAATTAGCCTGATCTAATCAGCAAACCCTTCAACTCCCAGTGAGAGACAAGGTGGGGGGCTGCAGACATAGCTTAGTGCTTAAGAGTACTTGCTGTTCTTTCAGAGGGTCTGGGTTCAATTCCCAGCACCCAAAATCCAAGACATCCAATGCCTTCTTAAGATGTCTGAGAGTACTAGGCATATAAGTCTTTTAGAGAGGGGGGGGGTGACTCCTGAGGTTGACCTCTGGCCTTGTTAGGTTCCTCTTGGTCATGGTGTTTATCACAGCAGTGGACACTACAGGACATTGCTGTCTTCACTTAGTCCCAGGTTCCGTTTGTAGCTTGTAGCTTTTACATTTGTGATGCTGTGCAACCTAGACTAAGACTTGGATCCTACTAGCTAGTCAGTTGAGCTGGCTTTTGTGATTCTGAGCCTTACTGTTCTTTGTAGTGTGTGCTACATATAGCTCATAAATGAAAGATATTTTCCCCAGATGTGAATGTGCTGTGAATGACCTGTACAGCCAAGGTGACCCTGGGGCTGGGTTGTCCTCCCTGGATCATGAATAAGCTCCTTATAGATCTTATCTTGTTAGCCTAGTTTCATGTCAAATAGGGAGAAAAGCACGGTTCCAGACTGGTGCTTCAGTTGTACATATGACCTCATTCCAAACTTCCCCTGAGTTGGGTTCACACTGTGCCCTGACTGTGGAGACCTGTTATGGATAGATGCTGTAAGCATGTTTTTTGGCATACTACTTTTGTCACTTCTTGTATCTTGTTTCCGGTGTCCTTCTTGGGCCTTTAATTCTGGTCTTTCCCAACCAACAGACCCGTGGATCTCAAGGTTTGCTGAAGTCTGCCCTCTCCTCCCTTGGCCAGAGACAGCAGTCCTTGGTGGCAAGTTTGAAAGCTCTAAGCCATGTTAAGTTGGAGGGGTGTTTTCTTTGTAGCCTCAATTGTGGAAGTGCTTTCTGAGTTTTAGTGGCTCCTTTAGCTATTGCAGCAGCTGCTCCCTGTGCTATGATAGCAGTCCAGCTCTTGGTATCTAATCAGTAACTTTTGTTCTTATTTAAATGTGTAGGAATGTCCAGACAAGGTCCAGAGAAGTCAGCTTTTGTTCCCAAGTTTTCTCACTTAGGTGACAGAACTGCTGCCTTTGCTGCCTGGGTTTATTTACCTCCATCTGCCTTGTACAAAGTGATAGTAAACATCTCAGAAACCAGGCTGTGGTAAGCATTAAACATGACCCCAGATTCCCTGAGCTCTGACTTTTTCACATGTCTCTACAAAAACCAGGCAACAATACTTGTTATCTGCCTCATTCCGCCTTTGGTGCCAGGCAGTAGCTGTCCACATGCCTTCCCTCGCTAATCAGCTCTGTTCCAAGCTAAGGAGGGAGGCACAAGACATTAGTGTCAAGGACCTCTGATTTGTGTCTAGCATATAAAATGAACCAGTGTCCAACAGTACACCACGAGGCAGAGGGATCTTTGTATACCAGGATGGACATTTCCATTTAGAGCTCAATGGAAGAAAACAGTCCTGATGTTGCTTTGGTATGACCTCACCAGCACTGCAAGGGGTGGGGTGGGGGGTTGGAATGGAGTTCATGCTTGAGAATTTACTGTAAAATCTCAGTGGTAAGGAGTTCTCACAGGAAGCAGAGAAGCAAGTCCTGTGTGTCTTGGTCCTAACCTTCATTTCATACTGAGGAAATGGGTGCTGGACTAGGCAGCTCTCGGTATTTGGGCTGAACAAAGCCCATTTTAGTAAGAACATCACTGCTCTTTTAAAGACCAGTGATTATAAAAGGCTATGTAAGCATGGAAAGTTACTGTGGCAATTGTAACACTTTAGGGATCTGTTTGCAGAGTACAGTAGCATGCATGCAATGTGAACTGGCTATGTGTGTGTAGATGCCCTCCATACTGGGTGCACATAAGGAGGCTGGCACATCTGGGTTTGGGGGTGACCATAATTGGTTCCTTTTCTTTCTTCCTGCCTGATGTACACAGACCCTAATAGAATGAGTTCATTTGTCCCTGTCCACTGAGGCCAAGGGGATGTCTTCATGTTAACATTTGTAATTCCATCATTGAGCATGTAGGAATCATTTTTAGTCTTCAGTGGAATTGTTCTTTAGCTTCTCCACTTGCTAAACTCTGCTGCTTGCCCCTTTGCTTTGTTGGTGTTGTAGTCACAGTTACAGTATGCACTGCACACCTGCACTGTGGTGCTTGTTAACACTTTGATTTTGTACATTTTATATAAGGGGGAGTGCTTGAAATCATTAGTGAAAGCTTTATCTATGCTGCTAATCTGCCAGGCTTAAAGCTTTTTATGCTCTCCTGGGCAAGTTTATGCCACTGTGGCCTCTTAGAAACCTTGACCCATGACATCCTTCCCCAGTAAGCTCATTGCAAGGGCTCAATACATTAGCTCCTGAGTATAATTCCTGGCTTGTGCTGAGCACTCAGCTGGTTCTTCTGATAATGCTCTTTTATTGTGGAATTCATGTATTGGAAGAAGTTTCTGCTTATTATAATATCTTTATCTTGTTTTGTTTTTAGGGCAAGAGTTCAAACCTGTCTCAGGTAGAATATTTAGTCATTTAACCAAAAATGGTATTTTTTACATGCAATGCATGTGGTGAATCAGTGAAGAAAATACAGGTGGAAAAGCACGTATCTGTCTGCAGAAACTGTGAATGTCTTTCTTGCATTGACTGTGGGAAAGATTTCTGGTAAGTTCTGATACTTAGATCCAGGTATAGAAGTCCAGACCCCACAAAGCTTGGGAAGATAGAGGAGCAAACTGAGGACAGAGAACAAAAAAGAAACCTTAGTGTCTGTTGACTAAACTTGGTGTGATTCTCCAGGGAGTGCCATTTCATTTTAAGGACTTGTTAAATTGAAGACCAAAGGGACAGGATCCTGTTGGTTAGAGAATTTGGGGCTAGTAACTTAGTACACACACAGTTTCAGGAACATATAGTTTATAGTTTAGTGGCAGAGCTCTTGTCTGGTATGCATGAGGCCCTAGGTTCAATTCCCAGCACCACCACCCCCCCAAAAAAGTTTTTAGAGAAAATTTAATCATTCAGAACCCTGGCTAGAATTTTGCTTCCTTTATTATCCAATGCAAGGAAGTGAGCACTCAGAATAAGGGACTTTCTGGGCGTTACAGGGCGGGGAGGTGGCACTTTGTTGTGGTTCTGTCAGATCTCATTGCTCTGAAGAAATCAACAAAAAAGCAGAATAATTAGGCTGTTTGTGCAGTTGGCCAAGTATGGAAAATCACAAAGAGTAAGCAGTGTACTCTTTGAGAGCCATTAGCACGTTGTCAGTCTAGTGATAAGACGTGGTTCCCTCTGCAGGGGTGATGACTATAAAAGCCACGTGAAGTGCATCAGTGAAAATCAGAAGTATGGAGGCAAAGACTATGAAGCCAAGACACATAAAGGTGATGCAAAGCAGCAGGCATGGATTCAGGTAAGTGTTTCTGTCCAGCCTGTCACTCATCCCACACTTCTATAAGTGCCACCTGTGCAGACAAGTCCCAGAGACAGCATACCTTGGGGTGGAGCACAAGTGTGAGAACATCTTGAGAAAGATAAAATTGTGGTTTGTTTATCTTTGGCTTCTGTGTTTTATAAATTGTGCTCAGCATATTCGTGGGTTCCTGCTAACTTTCTTTTGGCTGTAAAATGAAACTGAACCATAGAGTTTAAACCATCTGAACACATCTGAACAAAGTTAAAAGTTTCAGAAATGTAAGGAATTTTCTAGTTAAATACAATGAAAATATTTACAAAAGCAGTGAGCTCCATTTTGAAAGAAGGGGAGATTGCTGTACAGATAACATAGCACCTTTGTGGAGACTGCATTTTCTTGAAAATCAAATTAGTTCCCCCATTGAGTGCCAGAGTGTGAGTGTAAACTTGGGGTGTTGGCTCTCTTGACGGTGCATAATCCTGGCACGACCCTCATGAAGGACTTAACAGTGGCTACCCAGTTGAGAAGCTGCTGAAATCTTTAAGATGTGATAGTGCTGGCAGGGTGGCTCAGCTAGGATGCAGGTGCTGGCCACCAAGTCTGAGAACTTGAGTTTAGTCCTCAAGGACTCACCTACTACCAGAGAAGTGATTGATACAAGTTGTCCTCTAACCTCCACAAAAACACCTTTCACAGCACCCCATTGAGCCATCCTGCTGGCCCTCAATATTGTCTATCTGGTGTCATGTGTAAGAAATCATTACCAGATTAGATATTTTGAAGTTCTTTGATACATTTGGGGCTATTTTTTATGTAACATGAGGTCCAATTTAATTTCCATGTTAGGATCCACTATTCCTGGTACCATTTGTTGAAAAGGAGTCCATTTCAAGCTGGACTAGGCTTGATATCCTTGTCAAAAACCCTTTAACCATATCCTCAGGGGCTTGTTCCTGCATTTTCCAGTGGTCTTTGTGGCAGTAGTACCACACTCTTTGGATCATTGTAGCTTTGTAGTAAGTTTCCAATTAAAAAACAAAACAAAACAAAAAAACAACTTATTTCAAGATTGCTATTGTGTTTGGAGTGCCTCAGGGTTCCATGTGAATTAGTTGACATGTACAACTGGACTTTGCTATGGCTTTCAGGTTGACATCTTAATATTGTATTGCAAATGAAATTCTCCCAGTGTTCACATTTGAATTGTTTTTGTTGGTGTGTAAAAATGCAGCTTGCTTTTTAAGAATTGTGTATTCTGCAGCTCTGCTGAATGAGTTGTTAATTCTAACTGGTTGCCCCCTCTAGAGCTTTCTGCAAGCAAGACCATATTCCTTCAAATGCTGCCTGTGAATATTTGACCTGATTTTGTTCCTTCTGTTAGGAAGGCTTTGGCCAGGGCATCAGTGCTGTGTGGAATAGGAGAGTATTTGTCATTATGCATAGATGTAAATATAGAATCTTGGCTTTGAAGGTGAGAGCCCTTTGGCCAAGCCAATATGTCAGTTCATTTTCTTCTTCTTTTTTTAAATAGAAAATTAATGAATTAATAAAGAAACCCAATGTCAGCCCTAAGGTTGGAGAACTTTTGCAGCAAATCAGTGCTTTTGACAATGTTCCCAGAAAAAAGGCAAAATTTCAGGTATGGATTTAAATGCTGTTCCCAAATTGAGGTGTGGCCCATCAGTGACCTGTCAGAGGCGACAACGGCTTTCTCTTTATATCTACAGAACTGGATGAGGAACAGCCTGAAAGTGCACAGTGATGCTATTCTGGAGCAGGTGTGGAACATCTTCTCTGAAGCGTCCAGCAGTGTGAGTCCACTCTGCCTTGCAATTACAGTCTGATAGACAACTGGGAATAATGGAATGGGGTGCTGTGTATGGTGGTTGAGATGGCATTTCCAGAGAGCCTCCATGCTCTCTCTTTGATGGGCAGGAATGAGGTAGGAGCACCTGGACAGTGTGCAGGACAGCATTCAGCCTTCAGCATTCAGCATGCTGGGCAGTGGGACAAGTTTTTGTAGAATGATTGGCACAGCGGTCGGGCTGGGTAAATGGGAGTGACCCAGGATTTGATGTCTGACTGACTGGACTCCACTGTGTTTGATCAATGTACAGCACCCATGTACATCCTGTTTGGGAACTATGTTCAGTGGTTTGAAAGCAGGAGTATGCACATTATTTAGCTTAGCCTTGGATCCTCAGTGTTCTAATCGAAAACATCTGTGCTACTATACACTTCTTAGTTATTCCTTACTTATTGTAGACCTCAAATATCTCGGAAGTGGATTGGTGCTGTGAGAGAAATTTAAGCAGGCCGAGGGCAACACATCTTTCAGCCAAGAGTGTGTGGGGCCCCAGACCACCTCCCTGCATGTTGTAGCTATACTGTGGGTATTTAATGGGTGGTCAGTCAGCCTGGGCCTGCTTCTGCTACAGGGAGAGCATTTGAACCATTAACCGACTATTGAAAGTAATTGGGTAGAGAGCCCCTAGGTGTGAACCATAGGAACAGAACTTGGCTTGCTGTTCTTCATACAAGTTGTTGGTTCTATTGTTAATTACAGCACCCATGTACATCCTGTTTGGGAACTATGTTCAGTGGTTTGAAAGCAGGAGTATGCTCTGACTGGTCTTGTGCAGCAAGTTATTTACATTAGCATTAAATTCTAAAATTCTAACCAGCAAGACTAGTATTGAATGTCCCCAAAGGCCCATGTGTTGAAGTCTCCTCGTCAGCTTCTGACACTATTGGGAGGTGTGGAGCTTTTAGCAAGTGAGGCCTGGTGGGAGGAAGTTAGGACATTGAGGACATGCCTTTGATGGGATGTTGAGACCTCAGCTCCTTGTTCGCTTTGCTTTCAGATTTATGACAAGCAAGTGGTTTACCTTGCTACTTCCCTGCCTGAGACCCACAGCTTTTCAGTCTTGGACAGGAACCTTCAAAATCATCAGCTAAATGTTTTCTAAGCTAGTCACCTCAGGTGTTCGTTATGGCAATGGGAAGCTGGCTAATATATTATAATAACTTACCAGAAGAAGACAGTCGTAGGGAAAGGGTAAAGGGTGTTTCCCATTCCTCCTCCTGGGTCTGTTTCTGCATTCACATTAAGCTTCTTTTCCCTGGGAGCCTTGTCAGCTTCTGAGAAATCCTCAACAGTTAGTCTGCTTCCCAGTGCTGCCCTCCCAGGGGACTGAGTTAGTACACCAGGTGAAGTCTGGTTTGCCTTCATTTTGGCATTGCAGAGAGGACTGGGTAACTTGTTCCATATCATTTGGTTGTGACCAAGGAGTGGAACTTGCTGTCATGCTTTTGAATGCCTCAACCCAGGCTGGTCAGCACCTAGGGCAGCCTTATCCCTCCCTCTGCAGAGGCCCACAACTTACAGGCAGTTCAGTGAACTGTTCTCCTATATCTTGAGAGATCAGCATAGTGGGAATATAGCAGAAAGGGGACTGTTAGCATGGAACCTGTTGCCCTTTCTTACTAGAGAAAGTCTGTTTCAGCCAGTGCATGCAGTGCCTTGGATTTCTGGGCTACACCAACCTCAGGCTGGGCTCTTTGTGAAGGAAAGAGGCTTGGCTGGCTCAAACTTTGGAGGTTGGAAGTCTAAGATGAGGTGGTTTCATCTGTTTAGCTTCTGGCAGACACAGGTAGTGCTGTGATGGGAGCCTTTTTGGAAGTGGTGACATGGTTGGCAGGAAGCTAACAAGGTGAGGGCAGCATTCCTGATGACCTAACTACCATAGGCCCTCTGTCTTGAGGTTCTGCCTCTTCTGGTTCCATCAAATCCGAAGCCATCCTGCAATGTCTGCCCCTGCAAGAGGCACTCAAACCCTAGCAGACTTTACTTCCCATTCTTTACACTGGTAGCTGTCTGTGACCATCCTAAGGATGGCCATCTCATCTGGAGAAGGATGATGTGACTGCCTTTGTCTGTGTTCCATTTACACAGCACTTACCAGCCTTGTGTCCACTGCACTACACACTGCATACCTTTCCTGTGTCTGCTGTACACGGAGGGTTACACATGCCCTGTCCTACAGATGAAGCAGACACAGCTCCCTAGCACTGTAGTTTTTTTTGTTTGTTTTTGTTTTTGTTTTTGTTTCTTTGCTCTTTGGGGCCCACTACCCAGCTCCCAAATAAACACCAGAGACTTACTATTTATAAATGCCTTGCCTTAGCTTGGCTTGTTTCTAGTCAGCTCTTCTTAAATTAGCCTGTCTACCCTTTGCCTTGGGCTTTTACCTTTTTCTATTTCTGTATGTCTTTTCTTTCTGTCTGTCTTTTCTTCTGTGTCTGTCTGTCTGGGTGGCTGAGTGGTTGGCTCCTTGTGTCCTCTTCTCTTCTCATTTCTCTTATTTATTCTCTTTCTGGCAGCCCCACCTATCCCTTTTCTGCCTTGCTTTTGGCCATCCAGGTCTTTATTAGATCAATCAGGTGTTTTAAGCAGGCAAAGCAACACAGCTTCACAGAGTTAAACAAATGCAACATAAAAGAATGCAACACATCTTTGCATCATTAAACAAATATTCCACAGCATAAACACATGTAACGCATCTTCAACTAGTGTTCCACAGTATGACATCCTGCATCTGGCTATTCTGTCTTCATCTAAATAAAGGGTGACAGTGAGCCAAAATTGCAGACTGGCTTCATTTCACCCTTTAATATCATGAAAACGGGTTCCAGATCAGGATGTGAGCTTTGGCGTGCTTTACTTGTATTGCTAAATTTTAGCTGTTGGTGTCACAGTCATAAATAGTACGGTATGGACAATAGGTGTGGCCAGACCAGATACTTAGATGATTCTTGTTTTTACTTCATAAGGAGCAAGATCAGCAGCCACCCAGCCATGTGGCTAAGTCATCTGCAGAGATCCCCACTAAGGTTCCATCTGCCCAAACAAATGGCACCACAGAAGAACAAGTAGAGGCAAAGAAGAATAAAAGAGAAAGGAAGGAAGAACGACAGAAGAATAGGAAGAAAGAGAAAAAAGAGCTGAAATCAGAAAACCTGAAGGTCCAAAAGACGAAGAAGCGCAAAAAGGGCCAGGAGGCTGGACATGAGGCTGGTGGGGAGGAGACCACCAAGGCCAACAGCCCACCAGAAAAGAAAAGGGCCCGGGGTGGGCAGGCTTCAGAAGAGGATGCAGACAGAAATGGGGGCCCTGGGGAAGATGCTGATGAGGGGCAGACCAAGACAGGGGCAGGAAAACAGAAGCGGCGAAAATACTCAGAAGGTGTGTTGTGCTCATCCCGAGCACTGAGTTCAGTGGGACTGTGAGTTGGGGTACTGGGAAATATGCTAGGCCTCGCATTCTAGACCAGGTAGGGAGGAGGGCAGAAGATCTAGGGGTCCAGGTGACCTCACTATCAGCCTTCTATTGCTCATTTCCAGCAAGCATGATAGTGGAACCTACAGAGGGAGGTGTAGGGAGGGAGCTGGCATGCGGATGCCACCCTGGGCTTTTGTGACTGGAAGCAGCTAACCCTTTTTGCTTCTCTAACAGTTGAGTCTGATAACAAAAAGAAAAAGATGAAGTTGTCAGGACAGCCTGAGGAGGGAGAGACTGAGGACCATGAGGTTCCAGCGAAAGGTAACACTGCCTGTGTTTATTCTACGTGTTCAGGAAAAAGAGGCTCCTGGCAGAGATAGGCCAGGCACATCCTTACAGGGTCACACCCATCAGAGGCACAGCTAAGAATTTTAAAGTGAACCCAGTGTTCCTGGCATGTGGGTTAGTACCACAGTGCCTCCATCATTTCTTAAGGAAAAGGGGGAGTCTGGGTTGAAAACATATAGAGATGTTGGCCATCATTTCATTGCTGTAACAAATATATCTGACATGATCAAACTATAAAATCAATCATTTTGGCTCATAGATTTGGGGTCTGTGGGAGGGCCTTGCTACTCAAAAGGTCAAAAAGGGAAAAAGAAGAGACTAAGGTCTCACAGCCTCTTGAAGGTCAATGCTGGAGTGATCCAAAGATTTACTAGTGTCCCACATTGTCGGGGTTCCTATACTTCTCAGTGGCACCAAGCTGGACCCCAGTCCTTAGGGGACACTACAGATCCAAACCATAGCAGTATATTGCCCTTTAGTTGGCAGTGAGCCCAGTGAAGTTTTCCAAGGCTGGTTCCCTTCCCACCATCCCCATCTCTGTCTTGGCTGCTTCTCATCCTGTAGAGATGTCCTGAGGTCTAGACAGTTGTAGCTGTCCCCTGTCTGCTTCTGTGTCTGTGAAACTCCATAGCTACCTCCCACTGCCCTTAAGCTCTCCATGTATGTACTGACAGAATGCAAACCGTGGGGGCTCTTCTTAAATACCACCTCTTACTCAGAGCACCTCTCACACTGAGCTTCTGCATTGGGAAGTTCTGTTGTGAAGTGGTAAATCCACACTCTCCATGTAGATTCCCACCTACTCCTGCCAACAGAAATGAGCCAAGATGGGCATTAGAGCCATTCGTGGGGGTTTAATGACTGCCCAACTTAATCGGATCTCTTGAAGCCTGTCTCCAACTTTGTAAACTGGATTTAAGGATTAAGTTGTTTGTTTTCTTATTGGCCTTTTGTCCCTTTTCTGGTTGGATTTGTTTTTTTGTTTGTTTCTGATTATAATTTATAATTTTATATATCGTGTGTGTGTTACACATACATAGTTGGTTTTTGAGACAGGGTTTCTGTGTAGCCCTGGCTGTCCTGGAACTCACTCTTGAGACCAAGCTGGTCTCGAACTCACAGAGATCTGCCTGCCTCTGCCTCTGAGTGCTGGGATTAAAGGCATGTGCGACCATGCCCAGCTACATCCCCCCCCTCCCCGCCCCCCCACTAAGGCATGAACAGAATAAGCCCTTACCTGTGCTAAGCTAACAGTCTTATCACTGAGCGTCATTCAAGACCTCTTATTATTTTGGGACAAAAGTATCACTAAAGTTGTCCTGTCTGGCCTTGACTTTACTCAATATGCCAGACTAACTGGCTTTGAATTTGTGATCCTCCTGCCTAGCCTCCAAGTAGTTGGGATTACAGACCTGTGTCCACAGCCTACTTCCTGTTTCTCTCCAGACCTTCAGGTAGTGGGTGATTCTGTTGCCAGATAGAGGTGTTCATTGTCACTGCCAAGAGGGGTCCCCTTTGTGGCCTCTGCTGTCACCATAACCAGGCAACTTCTTAGTCGTTACCCACCAACATGAACAAAAGTTTGTATTTCTTGTTCATTTTTGACACTGTCCCTTTCCCAGCCTTCTGAGGACAGAATTCTGCCCCAAACTCGACCTTGGCTATCAATGGTTACTGGTTGAACATAGCTACAGCACTAACCAAGAGCTATTGGTTGTGCTGTCAGTGTTGGTGGTGGACAGGCCTTCCTTTTCTTTGCTCATTTGCTGAATCTGAGATGTGGGCTAGGCTGGCTTGTACCTGGTGGCCTTCTCAGTCACTGGCTTTCTTGGCTCCAAATCTAGACTGTGGAGCAGAAGAGCCTGTCCCATGGTAGGCCCTGAGACACTGCCAGTCACCACCTTTGCGTGTTTTAGGTTTGCTGAGTCTGGCATTCAGTTAGAGTTTGGCCTAGCAGAAAAAGCAGGAGCAGGCTGAACTCAGCTGCATCTTCTATACTACAGGATGTATGTGGATGCCTAGTTCAGTGCGTCTTTTGATTCTTTCTCCCCAGAGGTTGTCCCTATCATGCTGCTTGTGAGGACCATCCCTCCATACTGGGTACATTGCTTTCTGAAAGACAGTTGGTCTCTGGAAGCCTCTGCTACTGGGCTAGCGAATGACTTGGGGTCTTGTTCATGGGAGAGTCATGTTATTTCCCAGGAAGCACACAACTGTGAAGACATTTTTTTCTTTGCCCTTTGGTGGCAAGACAAAAGGCCTTATTCATCATTCCTTGCGTTGTAGGTAAATTCAACTGGAAGGGGACCATTAAAGCCGTTCTGAAACAGGCTCCAGACAATGAGATATCCATCAAAAAGTTAAAGAAAAAGGTACGTCTTGCAACAAAATAAGGCATGGAACACCTGGAAAGGGGTTGTTTCTAAATGTGTATGTGTGTTGTTTAACCTGAAACACTCAGACAGACAGACAGACAGACTGACAGACGTCAAGAGCTGTTCACATGTGCAACTGGAACAAGCCCACTCTCCTGCAGCCAAGCTAGGGTAGCTCTCTGACTCTGGACCTATCTGAAGATTGCATGTACTGTCTACAGTTGACTGTACTGGAAATGACCAGAAGTAATTTTTCTAGATACTTTGCTCTCTTTTGCTGATATTAAATGGTTGCTGGTGCTTTTTCCAGTTATTGCATCTATTTACTTATGAGAGTGTGTGCATAAATGTGGAGGTCAGAGTACAACTTGAAGGAGTGTTTTCTCCTTCCACCATTTGAGCCCTAGGGATTGAACTAAGTCATCAGGCTTGCACGGCAAGTCCCTTCCATTGAGCCATCTCACCTGACACACACACACACACACACACACACACACACACACACACACGCCTTTTTTAAAAAAATTCTGTAGCTGTGTGTGACGTGCAGTTGTGTACACATGGGCAGCTGCTGGGTCTTCACAAGCAGTACATGCTTGTGTGACCAGCTTCTGGGCTTCTTTTATTTTGTAATGTGGACCCACATCTGCACCTTTTTCCGTGTACTTCAACCCCAAAGAAGCCTAGACAGGTAGATTTGCCAAGCACATCTACAACAGGCCTCCATATCTGACATCTGTCTCTCTTTGCAAAGGTTATAGCTCAGTACCACGCAGTGACAAGCGACCATCACATGTCAGAGGAGGAGCTCCTGGCCATCTTCAACAAGAAAATTAGCAAGAACCCCACCTTTAAGGTGCTGAAGGACAGAGTCAAGCTTCTGAAGTGAATGCACCGTCACTTCACACACTTTTGACTGCTTCCCTGTACTGTTTGTAAAATGTGTAATGAATTATAACAACCCGAATTTTTGCTTTCTGAAACTATTTTTAAGTTAAGGAAAAAATATATTTTTGTTAAAACGTTTATGAAAAAAATAAAATATATTCTTGTCGAATTCTATATCAATAGTAAAAAAAATCATGTACTTAAAGAAAACACTGCAGGAAACTTTAGAATGTAATGTGATGCCAAGTGAAGATGGGTTTCCCCATTTGGTGAGGTGGGGAGGTGTTGGTTAGTCACATCCCTCTGTGTGCCTCCAACCAGAGATGCTGCCTGATAGAGCTGCAGTGTGAATTTCTAAGTGGTGGTGACTGGGATTTTAGGAGTGATGATCCTTGTTTAGCCACAGGTGACAATCTATAGAGGAGACATGTCTAACAGATTAGCCCATGCAGCCTTCTTGTCAGGAACACATTGAGAAGTGTAGCCTGTGGGGGTGGCTGTAAGCATAAGAAAGCCCATCTGCTTCTCATGCTCTCGGCAGCGCCTGCTCCAGTGCTGGCACTGTGTGTCCTGGTGGAGCCCTGCACCACCACCTACTGAGAGCTGGTGTTTTGCCCACAAATCCCTTAAGCCTTCAGCAAGAATTACCCCTTTGGCAGTGTCACTATTCACTCATCCTTGGGGTGAAAGCAAGATGGATACAGAACAGATGCTGCAAGGATAATCATGTGTCCAAGGGAAACGGTAAAGCAGAGGGACTATATAGGCTTGTGACTGGGGATATGCTACTGTGTAGGGATGAATCGGATGGCTCTATGTCCTGGCTTGGTCCCTTACCAATAACTCTTGCTGGACATCACCTCTCTTGTCTGGACAGTTTAGATGTAAAGGTCCCATTAGGGTTGGAATGAATGTGCTAAGTTAGTTGCTAGACCTACAGCCCACTTGATGGCTATTTGACTATTCTTGGTAACTAACTATTGAGCTGGGAGAATCCTTAGACATTACAAAAAGCAAAGCATACCTAATGAGGGACAAAAGCCCTATGACTGTTGAGGTCAGCCTGAGATACCCTCTGTTCTAGTGTCCAGGTAGCAGTAGTATACCCCAGTATCCACATGAGATGGGCTTATGCAAAGCAGCTCTAGGGGAGTCTCATAAAATGCCCAGATGCTACAGTTTGACAGTGCAATCTCATTCTAGTAACTGTCCATTTCACTGTGATGTCTTTAAGGCAGTGTGTCTAATGTGACAAAATTAAATATGATGCTGTGCTCCAGTGGACTTAAGGCAAAACAGCTATCCCAGGGCCCAGAGGAGGTGGAACTCCACAGGGAAGAAGCAGCGGCAAAGCTTCTGATGTCAGTTTTGGCAGTTGGCATCATGGTGGGTGTCTCTGCTGGCACCTGCAGCCAATGGAGAAGGGCTGACCACACAGTTTCCCTGGGGTCTGGCATTAACAGCACATCATCATCCCATGGTTCTTGCACAGAAGCCGTCCCAGTTGCCTGCCTGACTCTTAACACATGCCCATCCTTACAGTGCCAGGGCTTTAGAAACTGGAGAAGCCTTTCTGTCTGGGCTCAAACCCTCGTCCCAGTTCAATGTCAAGTCCAGTGCTGCCATCTGCTGTCTGTGCTCAGGCTTATCTTCAGGGCCTGGTACTCATCTGTCCCCTAACCAAACCAAAATCTATTTTGCACACTGATCTCAGCTTCATGCCTTACAATTAGTTGTTTGTTTATTCATGTGTATGGGTGTTTTGCCTGAATGTAAATCCTCACCATGTGCACACCTGGTTCGTGTGAAGGCCAGAAGGGGGTGTAGGATCCTCTAGAACTGGAATTAGAGATGGTTGTGAGTGGCCAAGATGTGTGGATGCTGGGAATTAAGCCTGGGTTCTCTGGAGGAGCAGCCAGTGCTTGATTGCTTGTTTTTCAAAACAGGGTTTCTCTGTGTAGCCCTGGCTATGCTCTGTAGACCTGGTTGGTCTCTTAACTCTGCCTCCAGCATGTTAGGAGCAGCAGTGCTCTTAACCACTGAGCTATCTCTCCAGTCAGCCTCATGATTTTTACATTCATGGAATCAGGCAACTGCATACTGGTAATTTTCCATGATGCCACTTAAGGATTTGAGGGTAGATGGCCTTTATCAACCCTAAAGAGGAAGATGTGTGATGTTTTGTGCTATTTCATTCTGGGACCTCTTCAGTATTAAGTACTTTGTGAACACTGGTGAAATTGGATCCAAAAGGTGAGTGGGGACCACTGAGGGTCAAGCCATCTTCGCCTCCATAGCTGGACTGAACTATCCAGACTCAGGCTAATGCAGAAGTCAGAATGTGAGCAGTGGACAGCAGAGGACATTTATATGAGGAAAGCTGAGGATTTTTAAATGTCTTGCTTTTCTATAATAAGATTGGTTGAAACTTCAGAAGAGGCAGCTTTCCCAGAGCCCTGAATCTCTTTAAACTCACCCCTCAGGGTAGTGATTAGAACAAGTTATTGTCCATATAAATAGCAGTTTTATATCAGATTTATATCAGTATGCCCCTTCATTGTCTTGTAAGCATCTCATTTTTCTTTCAAAGCTAAAACTTGAGTTATCCTGGTCCTAACTGCTTTCCTTATATATATAATTATGGCCAAGATAGTACATGTAAATATAAGTTGTTAAGACAATTTTTAAACATTTTTGGCACTGGGGGGTCAAAGCCAGGGCCGCCTTTTTACTGTTTTTTAAAAGATTTATTCATATTATGTGTTGAGTATTTTGAGGTGGTTGTGAGCCCAATGTGGGTACTGAGAATTGAACTCTGGTCCTCTGGAAGAGCATCCAGTGATCTTAACATCTGAGTCATCTCTTCAGCTCCTATACATCTTTTTCAGATGTATTTTATTATCTTCTATGAGTGTTTTTCCTACATGTCTGTGCACCACCTGCATTCAGTGCCCATGGTGACCAGAAGAGGTCATCAGCTCCCCTGGAACTGGAGTTACTGATAGATGGCTGTGAATAGCCATGTGGGTGCTGGGAATTGAACCTTAGTCCTCTGGAAGAGCAGCCAGTGCTATTAACCACTGAACCATCTCTCCATCCCCATCTTTTTAATTTTTTTTTTTTTAATGTGTATGTGTATTGCACAGGAGTACTTGTGCCTGCAGAGGCCAGAAAAGAGTGTCAGACTCTGGAGCAGAGTCACAGGCTCTGGGACTGGGAACTGATTTTGGTCCCCTGCAAAGGCACGCTTACGGATTGAGCCATCTCTTCGTGTGTGTGTGTGGGGTGTGTGTGTGTGTGTGTGTGTGTGTGTGTGTGTGTGTGTGTGTGTAAGCACTTTGACAGCTGAATAAAGAGAGTTGTAACAGATCAGTATTGTTTTCATTTCCATAGTGACAGCTATGGCTAGTGTATCTTGGTAAGCCCACCCTCCTCACTGTTCTTATGCTCCTTTGTCTCCATGATGAGAATGGACCCCAGCATAGATAATTACATGTTGTTGACTTCTACCTGCACAAAGCCATGACAATGGCAGAACCCATTGTAGTGCCTTGGGCTTGCAGAAGGAAACTGGAAAGAAATTACTGACTTCATTCTGTTAAGAAGAAAGGCATGTTCTGGTAACCACTATTGCTGGTTACCAGACCTGATCCCTTTATCCCTTCTTCCGATTTGCTTTCCAGAAATGGCTGGAATAAGTGCTTATTGCACCAAGGAAATCATGTTATACTTTCCACTCATTAGAAAGAATAGAAAGTGTTATTTTGTAGTGATTTCTGAACTATGTATGTCAAAGGGTTACTGGTATAGTCAGTCTTTGGAGTTTGACAAAAGACTTGGTCTGTATAAGAATATTCATTTTCTCCATTTTAGAGCTACTGACTGCAGCATATGGGGGTCATGATCAAGCCCCTGCTATCATGCGCCCTGAGCATCACTTTTCCTAAGTTTAATGCTGAGTCCTTGGCTACCCTTTGGGGAAGCCTCTTGTCAATTGAGACCATCCTAAGTCACATGGCAAACTGCAGCATTCTAGATTGCTTACCCTGGGCAGAGCTGGGTGCTAGGTGCTTGGGCATGGAGGTTTTAGGAAGGGGAGAAAAACATCAAGTCTAACTCAGGAGAAGTCATGTGTGTTATGATGCCATTCTGCCAGGTCAGGATGGATGGTGATAGATTAGTAGACCTCCTGGGACTCCCTCCTACCCTTACCCTTCCTCTCCCGAAGCCCCACCACCACCCCACCACCTTTATTGCAGTGGTGGGGATAGAACCCAGAACCTTGTATTCTAGATCAGTGCTCTTCCACTGAGACATATCCTCCACCTCCACTGCATTCTTGAGTGGTATGAAATTATCAACTACCTGATATGTGAGGCCATCTTTTTCACTCCCCTACCCCTTCATCTGTTCCCCTGTGCAGAACACAGTAGCAGGCTCTACACAGATGAGAGACTTGAATCTGAGTCATGTGTTTTTCCAGTCAGTAGCCCTGCTGGAGCAGGTTGATAAGCATGTCTTAACTCCAGACTTTTCTCTTTCACACCCCCTGCCTAGGACAAATAGAGTGAAGTGAGTGCTGTGCACATGGTGTCTGATACACATTAGGTATCTGAAAACCAATTAAAACTTGATTGGGGAGAAGGCTCTTCAGTTAGAGTGCTAGCAACTCAAGCAGGAAGACCAAGGTTCGGATCCCCGGAACCCATGTAAATGCCATGTGGGTGTGATGGCATCCTTGTAATTCTAGCCTTGAAGGCAGAGATGAGATTCCCCTAGTAAGCTCCCTAGTGAGACTAGCTGTATTGGCAGGCTCCAAGTGATTGAGAGACCCTGCCTCAGAGAATAAGGTGGAAGAGAGATAAGGATTTCCAACACCAGCCTTGGGCTTGCACATGCACAAGCAAGACATGTATAGCCAGTGAGAAAGGCTTTATTAGAGGTGACAAAGCATGCATGTTTATGCACACACAGACACACACACGTAGGCATGTACACAGCAAAAACACGAGAAAGACCCTCTGCAATAGAGCAACTGAAGCTGGGGGTCTTAAGAATCTTTGAGGGCCCTTCATTGTCTAAATTGGGGTTGATCAGCTTGAGCAAAGACAGAGCAGGTGATCGGTCACAACTTTGGCATAAATGTGTCCTGAGCCTCTGTGTCTGGTCAGGGA